TTAACTTTCGTTTTCGACCTTTTCATCTTTTCACGTGGACAGCTCAATGCCGGCCTTATTTATTTAAAAAAAATAATACTTTTTTTGATTGAAGCCTTCACACAAACGCAATTTTTTGGCAAATTGATTTTGTCGTGGCAAGTCCATTACGACTATCCTGCTTTCGATACTGATAAGGGGCTGCGTTTGAATCATCTAAACTGATTAAAATCTCATCTTTTATTACCGAAGTTGTGGTCCATTATGAAGACCCTTACGTACCATTTAAGATATGCCTCAATATGCTAAACTATCAATAAAGGTCGTCTCGCCATGATGTATTATTTGCCATATTTGATGCACCTCAATTTCAGCAGGGCATATCAGGAAAGATTAGTAATTAGTAAAATCATTAAAATTACTAATAAAGGGTACAGCCGAGGCTATATTTATGAGGTATTATTTTCGTTGAACAAGCCATAATTATAATTAAACAAAAAATAATAGGAAAAAAGAAAATTGACCTATAAAATCTTTACTATATCCTTTATAGGATCTGTACAACCTGCGTCTTGTAAACATCTGAGTGGAATAATTAGGATATAAAAAATTCTGATTGTATTTATACCAATGGAACCGAAAGTTATCACAAGAAAAATATTAATGAAAGAAATATATTTTACAAATATATAAATTGAATTTATTGCAAATAATTTTAGTGAAACAGTAATAATATTAACGTGATGAAATTAATATAATGAATATTATCAATAAAACTTTTAATCTGCCTTTTAAATAATGACAATCGGTATATGTAAGTTACTCTAAAGTCTAAGCTAATAGGAGTTGCCAGGTAGCTAATTTTGGCCGACTATTGCGAATTTTAAACCCTATATACGGCATATAAGACGCAGGGGAATTTTAAAAGATATTTTACTAAAAATAGTGCGCCTTATATGCAGTCAAATACGGTAATTCCACGTTACTATCTCTGGAGGCGTTGATCTCCCATAAAATCTTCCCTTAATATTTAGCAAGTGGCATGATTCTGAATACTTAGTATTTATAAAGAGTTTCTTGTTTTAGTCATAATATTTGTGTGAATTCCAAGCAGCTGAGCATGAAGATTGTCTAATAATTGAGGCAGAAAACGTGTGAAAAGGTCGCAGCAACCTTCATAGCTTGTAAAATGAAAAACAAAAAAAATTGAAAAGGAATCAGATTGTCATAAAAAAAACATCCTATTTAAAAAAAAAATTAAATTAATTTTGCATCTCTGAATTTTTAAAACTTAAACATTCATATTTGAATAGTGGATTCTTATTTTATTTTTCAGGATAAAACATATATTAATTCTATAAAAGACAGAAAGGACATTCAAGAAAATAGAATTAAAAAAATGATGACTTTAATAATTTAAAATAGAGAGTTTGAAAGCCGTCTACTCCTATACGCCGTGTCCATTCAGGACATAGGAAATCATGGCTTCCACAATTTCCCTGTCCTAAGTATGTTAAGAGTTGTTACTTCGCCAATAAATCTGCTACGGGCTGATCGTGAAAACAATATATATATATATATATATATATATATATATATATATATAACGAAAATCTTGGTCATCCGTATAGATAATCCCAAGGAGGTTGAAATACGGAGAGCTCAATGTTAAGTCAACGTGGCACGGTGGAGTAATGGATAGCCGAATCCATTACATTCACTTACGTGCTAACACCCTTGGGAAAGGTGTGAATCCTCTTCTTCTCCCTCCAGCTATGGGTAAATAGCAGGACAGACTGGGTTCTATAGCCTTGGATGGCAACTGTTCTAGAAGTAAAACTCTGAATTCAGACCTGCTTTTAGAGGAGGGTAAATGGAGTCTCTCTGAGCCTTGGTTGGCAATCCATTTAGTGTTGGTGTCACGATAAAAACACCCTTGATAGTCCTAGCGAAGCATCAAGAATTCAGCTATTTGACAAGATTATGAACTACACCAATCAAAGTATTGGTGAGTTCAATCTCAGGTGTGGCCTGAAGATGAAGTCAACGTGAATAAAGAATTTAAAGAAAAAAAAAACAGACCACTTTAAGGTTCCATTAGTTATAATTTATTTCACCAGGGAATTTTATTTTTCTCTGGATCTTCAGACTTCGCTTTCAAGGGTGAAAAAATGAATTTAAAATTTACACTTTTGAAGGGCAGTATTAAGCTTATATAAGGTGACCACCCTCTATGTCACTTTATTTTTATACATGTATGTATATATAATCGTGTATTTCGGCAGCAAACATGATTCATTACAAAGTATTGACGAGATGCCGTGGTTAAGTTTTTATATAATTTTTCATGTGTTCTTGTGTTTTATCTTTTCTGGACATAAAATACATACAAATTTTCATAACGTTTTATATATACAAGCACTTTGGGGACATACAAAACTGTATTCGTTGATAATACAAATATAATAGCAACATCCACATTTTAAAAAATAGACAAAAAATAATTGAAGCAACTATATATATAAAGTTGTAATCACAGTCTGTCTGTTTGTTTTTTATTGAACTCGTCCTAGAGTTTTAGAAATAGACCCCCATAACCATACATATTCTGAAACTACATTACCCAGGGTACTTAGATAAGTATATTTCGTTTTGGTTAAAGAGGTCAGCCTTCTGCGGGGAGAAAAACACTCAATTATTTTTCCTTTAATTTAAATTAATTTTAAATTTGAACAAGGGAATGAATTCTATCCAAAATATAGAAGGAGAAATCCAGAAGATTGAGGTCACATCGGCAAGATCATTGAGTAATGTTGAAATGGATCAGTTTTCTCTACAAACTTATGACAATGATTTAAAATCGATCATCATTTTTCTTACAAAAAGATATGTGACACAGAGCAAGACACTGTTAAATCGGCTAGTTATTAATAAAAAAGAAAAAGGCAACAGACAATAATATCAACTACGAACATGGCCAAAATGTGCTGACCGTGTTTGGAAAATAAAACAATCCTATATCTCTAGATGCATAAAACAATCCATACATTCAATTAAAAATAAAAATAAAACCCATCCGTAATAATCGCTAAAAGTATATACGAAAACGCTTGGATATATAAAACATTTGGACAATTTTTATTTATTTTATGCCCTGAAAAGAAAGAAATTATAAGAACACCTGAAAAATTTATATAGGAAACTTATGCGCAGCACCTTGTCAGTTGTTTTTAATGAATCTTGCATATATATATATATATATATATATATATATATATATATATATATATATATATATTTCTACGTTGAATGCACAACTCAGAGTTTCATGCCATTTGCAATCTTCAGATTTACACCGTTTGTGTAATACTTCTGGTTATCGTGAGATATTTTATTGTTAGGTTGGATTATTATTATTGTTAAGTGTTTAAGTGAATTTTAGTTGAATTTTGGATTTGAATTTTGGCCCAGATTAACATTTAAGATTGAAAATAAGAATTATAAATTTTAACGCTGTCATAAAAAAAAACTTGGAGATCAAGAGTGGGTAACTCTGTTTTTTGTACGAAAATCAATAATGAAATTAATAAAATTAACAATTTTTAATAAATTTAATGATATTAATAAAATATGCAGTTATAAAATTAAGTTATTAATAAAAATACTAATAAAAATAATACATATCAATAAAAATAAAAATAACATAAAAATAAATACATATAATAATTAAATAAATAAATAATAATAAAGAACAAACCACGTAAGTAAAAGTAAGATAGACTTAATCTCTCTTTTTCCCTACCTCTCTCTCTCTCTCTCTCTTTCTCTTTCTTAGTCTCTCTCTTTATTTTACTATCTCTCTCTTTCTATTTATCACTCTCACTCTTTATTTCACTAACTCTTTCTATATTTATTTCACTTCTTCTCTCTCTTTCTCTTTATCACTCTCTCTCTCTCCCTTTATTTCACTATCTCTCTATTTCTATTTATCACTCTCACTCTCTCTTTATTTCACTATCCCCCTCTTTATTTCACTATTTTCTCTCTCACTCTCTTTAATAATATTAATAAAATATGCAGTGATAAAATTAAAATGCTAATAAAATTAATACATAATGAAAATAAAATCAGATAAAAATAAAATAAAAATGAAAACATAAATAATAAATAAATAATGATAATAATAAAAGCAAACCACGTTGTTGATAGTAAGATTAAAATTAAACGTAAGATAAAGAAAATGCTAATAATGGTTATATAGTAAAAATAGTAATAATAATGAAACTAATAAATTAACATAACTGTTAAATGAATTACAGTGTGTGTGTGTAACGTTAGAGAGAGATAGAGAAACAGACAGACAGAGAAATAAAGAAAGATGACAGACAGACACAGCAATATGGATGCTGGAATCATTATTGCTTATTATTTTCATAGGGCAAAACCCGAACTCCAATAATGGTCTGGAATAAATACAACCAGAAATACAGCGACCAAAACCATAAAAGACAAAAAGAATAGTCTGGTTAATTCATGGAAAACGGACAATCCTTCATTAATAATCAAAACAACAAAGATCAAGATTTTAATAAGAACAACTGATAAGTTTAAAAGTATACGTCATTCCCGAACATCAGGTACTGTATAAAAAATAATGTCAGACTAGAAAGATCCTTCATTTTCGTTTACGAGGAGGTGAAATACTCTTTGATAAGCAAAGTACGTCAAAAACTAGTGTTTGGTTTGTGTTTAACAGCGAATAATTTCTTATTTCTTTGTATTGATGTTCTTGTCAAAGAATGGTTACGACTGAGAAATGTCAAGAGGAAGTTTACCAAAGATCCATCATGAATTTCTTATTTACTTGTTTCTCTTATATTTTATGTTCTTCAATAAGATTCCTCGTTCCACATGTCGAAACATGTTTCCGATTTTCTTTTTCATCTCATTGAATTTAGTTTTGATTTAACTGTTCTTTAAAAAATGTTAAAAGTCACGAGGTCAATATTACTTTCATTTTAATGCCCACCTCACTCTCTCTTTACTTCACTACCTCTCTCTTTATTTCACTACCTCTCTCTCTTCCTCTTTATCCCTCTCTCTTTATTTCACTACCTCTCTCTTCTTCATTATCACTCTCTCTCTCTCTTATTTCACTACCTCTCTCTCTCTATTTATCACACTCTCTTTTTATTTCATTGTTTCTCTTTACTTCACTACATCTCTCTCTCTCTATTTCACTACCTCTCTCTTTATTTCACCAACAGGAAGATTCCTCTTTATCAATCTCTCTCTCTCTTTATTTATTTACCTCTCTCTTTCTATTTATCACTCTCTCTCTTTTATTTCATTGTCTCTCTCTTTTTTCACTACCTCTCTCTTTCCTTTTATCCCTCTCTTTTCATTTCACTACCTCTCTCTTCTTTTTTATCCTCTCTCTTCTTATTTCACTTGATCTCTCTCTATTTATCACACTCTCTTTTTATTTCATTGTTTCTCTTTACTTCACTACATCTCTCTCTCTCTATTTCACTACCTCTCTCTTTATTTCACCAACACTCTCTCTTCCTCTTTATCAATCTCTCTCTCTCTTTATTTATTTACCTCTCTCTTTCTATTTATCACTCTCTCTCTTTTTATTTCATTGTCTCTCTCTTTATTTCACTATCTCTCTATTTCTGTTTATTACTCTCACTCTCTATTTTACTATTCCCCACTCTTTGTCTTTATCTCTCTCTCTCTCTCTGTTTATTTCACTACCTCTCTCTTTCTATTTATCATTCTCACTCTCTAATTTATTTCATACCTCTCTTTCTGTATTTCACTGCCTCTCCATCTCTTTATTTCACACTCTCTCAATGTATTTCACTATCTCTCTCTTTCTATTTATTACTCTCACCCTCTCTTAACTTCACTATCTCTTTTTATGTCAATATCTTTCTTTTTATCACCCTCTCTCTTTATTTCACTATCTCTCTCTTTCTATTTATTACTCTCACTCGCTCTCTTTATTTCACTATCTCTCTCTATTTCATTCCCTCTCTCTTTATTTCACTATCTCTTGAGCACCCATATATATATATATATATATATATATATACTATAAAACTATATTTTATCATATAAGATGTCCTCGAAAAAAGTACTCATTCTTAAAAAATGTACTCACTCTCGCAATAAAGGCAGTGTTTATTGACTTGTAAACTAGATTAATGATTAAAATGAAAAAAATATAAATGCTTTTTGACTTACAAAGATAAAATGTTTAAATTAAATATTAAATGAAATTAAATGCATAAATCTGAAAAAAGTAAAAAAATCAAGAAAATATAGGAAGTTAAAAAACTGATTACATTTTTTTTTGGGGGGGGGTACACCATTTGTGTGCATAAAAGAACGCATAACCTACCAAGCGAGTTGAAGTAAAAATGGCGGGACAAGTTTTAGGTGAATGAACCAAAATACAATATTTATGGTCAGGAAACTATGGAGAGCCATGATAGCCAATATCCTGTTAGAAAACGACACATAGAAGAAGAGGGAGTATTAATACATTTTAGGCAAATATTTTTAATATCTCTTTTACGTTAACCGTTCGCTGATAAAGTAAATTTGATCCTGATTAGTGTCCCAGTCTCTCTTTAGTTTAGCAGTATGCGATATAATATGGACGCTATAAACAAGTAACAATTTTGAAGAATTTTATTGTTTTATATCTGAAATTATTCAAATATTTCACTTTCTCTGATTCTTTCTGTTTGTTTATATATATATATATATATATATATATATATATATATATATATGTGTGTGTGTGTGTGTGTGTGTGTGTGAAGAAAATAGAAAATAGGAAGGAACTGGTTAGGTAAATAATCCAAAGTCCCTTAGTATTTTATTTTTTAAAAAATAGTGCTCGATACAAAAGTAGAGCATAAATATAATTATTTATTTAAAAATATGATTCCAAATCGCGACATAAGAAGTCCAATGTTTCAAAACAAGAGCCGAAAACTTCAAGATATTTATTTAAATTAAATTGAGTTAAAATAAGCTCTGTTCCATCTTCAAGCGAAAATTATATTGAAGTTTTCGGCTCTTGTTTTGAAACATGAAACTTCTTATGTAGCGTTTTGGAATCATATTTTAAATAAATAATTATATATATATATATATATATATATATATATATATATATATATATATATATAAATTTGTCTGTCTCCCAGAAACCATGTTTGATTTTTTAAGTTATTGTTCTTGGCTAATGACAGTGATTTTGAGACCACTGTCTGTAAACATCAAGCACATGGGTGAATAAAATGGCCGCTCGTTTCTTCTCGGAAAACGAGGCTTTTTCCAGCTCTCGGTCGATATAATTGTCTACGTGGGATGAACGGTCGATTGACCTCGGACATATTATTGATAATATGTCACTTAATTTCACGTTTTGTTTTTCTCCCTTCTTCCTGTCGTTCTCAACGGAGACATTTTTATGTTTGCGGCTGGGAGAAAAGCTAATCTTGTTAACCTTCTCTCCCATGACAGAGAAGAAATCAAAAGAACGTTTTCGTTCTTTGATATGAGTGCAGAAGATCAAGAGTGAATTCAGACGACTTTATTTGGTTTAATTTATTTCTTTTACGTTTTACTGCCGCTGATTTTCTAGAAACTTTTCTTTGAGTAGTCTATTTCGAACAATATCGAATCGTTAGGTTTTGTTTATTTTAAAAATTTGTTCAACTTTTGGCATGATTTATTTTGAATAATTTTCTTCACGCAGATATTCTATCTTCATTATAGACGGTCTTCAATTTGATGCTGGTCGGATAAATTGTCTGTAAGATGCTTAAATTGAGAAAGAAGAATAAGTATGAAGAGAGGAGGAGATAGAACTCCCATCTTTTACTGATTCACTTTAACTATAACAATCTTCTAGGTAAATGAAATTTTTTTTCCATTATATTCTTAAATATCTGTCTATATTTCTGAGATGAGGTATTATGTACACTATTTACATTATTCGGACTATTGTCCTCATCTTTATCGCCATGTTTATCACAACGTTTCGGCCCTTCAGTATCTGTCTATATTTCTGAGATGAGGTTTTATGTACACTATTTAAATTATTCGGACTATTGTCCTCATCTTTGTCGCCATATTTATTACAACGTTTCGGCCTTTCAGTATCTGTCTATATTTCTGAGATGAGGTATCATGTACACTATTTACATTATTCACACTATTGTCCTCATCTTTGTCGTCATATTTATTACAACGTTTCGGCCTTTCAGTATCTGTCTATATTTCTGAGATGAGGTATTATGTACACTATTTACATTATTCGGACTATTGTCTTCATCTTTGTCGCCATATTTATTACAAAGTTTCGTCCGTTGTACGCTCCGGCCTTCTTCAGGTGGTTGGAATGTCGAACTGAACCCTTTATTTTGCTCACTGGGGTAGACTGTTCTAGTTCCATGTGCCATGTTTAATGGATGTCAGTTATCAGTTATCTCCTGTTAATTCTCTTCTGTGTCTTCTGAACACAGAAGAAAATTCCCCTTCCCACCACCAAACACAATATAAAACAAAACAAGCATAAATAGATACATTTTTTAAATATAAACCAATCTGTCTGACGATCACAAAAGCGTGAAACGCAGGGTCACAAACTCATAACCATACAACTGAATATGTTAGCTCTACCACTGATACTGATCACTGCGCAACTAAGTACTAAAATTATATATATATATATATATATATATATATATATATATTGATTCCCAAAAAAATTTCGCTTCAAGATGGAACTGAGCTTGGTACTTATAATTCAATTTAATTCAAATAATTATATTGAAGTATTCGACTCTTGTTTTGAAACAATAGAACTCTTACATAGCGATGGAATCATATTTTTAAATAAATAATCATATATATATATATATATATATATATATATATATATATATATATATATATATATATATATATAATAAAACAAGTTTGATTAAAAAAATCACAGAGCCGGTAGAGTCTGTTTAATATTTTATTCTGTTTTTCCAGTTTCCGAATAAAGTGTTCAGTGTTGTTAATAAAATGCCCAAAGTTCATATTATGTTATATTTGTTCAAGTGCTTTCGAATTCCGCAGTCATTATCAAGAACCCAAGTGGTCTCAGTGTGGCAATTAAAATTCCTTTGTCTGCATCCTGGTATTCTTTGCCATGCTGGACGTTTGAAATGGTCTAGCGTGACATCATATGTAACGGCTCTATTGGGAACGAGACAGCACAAAATTTATTTATTAGTTTATTATATATATATATATATATATATATATATATATATAAATTTCATACATACATAATCTTAATTGTTTTATTGCCCTTCACGCAGAACTTGTTTCGCTGCCAGTTCAAGTAAGACATTTGGGTCACTAACGCACAAAAAAGAGAATATCTGATATCGAGAATATTTGACACCGAAAAACATAAGAAAAATTAATTCCTTTTAATAATATGTGGAAATATCCACTCTTTGCCTGATGAAGATCGTGAGACCGGAAACCCGTGTAGCAAAATTATGGAAAATAAATCATAATATATATTTTTTTAAAATCCACATTACATTAAATTAGTTTGTGGTTTCTCTCTTCTATTTAATATACACATTTTTCACTCGTTGGAACTACTATAATCACTTCCATATATATATATATATATATATATATATATATATATATATATATATATATATATATATATGTGTGTGTGTGTGTGTGTGTGTGTGTGTGTGTGTGTGTGTGTGTGTGTGTGTATGTGTGTATTTTTTAATGTTTTAAAAAAGAGAAAACCGTAAACGCTTTTTGGTTATAATGTGAACTTGTTTTAATATTATTATTTTATTCTTCATATAAAATATAATATATATACTAAAACCAAAAAAAGGTTTATTTTAATCTCTTTTTGAAAATATTTTCTCTCGTTGGAACAACTATAAACTTTTTCCCTATATATATATATATATATATATATATATATATATATATATATATATATATATATATATATTTTTTAATTGTTTTAGCGAGACAAACTTGATAACGATTACACCACGTCCAGGTGCCTTTTGATACGTATATATATATATATATATATATATATATATATAAACTAAAACTGAGTATATTGCGTTGAATCCTCACTGGATGCCCCTAAATTTCGGCCTTGTGCCACATCTATCTACTCTTAGGAAATCATTTTGACACAATGTCTGTAAAAATAATAAATAAATATCCTATATATATATATATATATATATATATATATATATATATATATATATATATATATATATATAGTTCATGTTTTTTTACTAAATACTTATATATAAATTTGGTCATAGGAAGAATAACGTCTTTTACCATTTTTACCTGTTTTTGTTTCTGAAAGACTAAATATATTTTCTTCTTTTCTCTTGCAGGCAAAACATTCTGAAGGTAAGAAGACTTTTTCCTTCTATTAGTCAATGATGTGTCTCTACCTATATCTTGATGTCCGTCTTCGTCTACCTGTCGGGCAGCGGCCCAATATGCTTGTCAAAGTCTGTTTTAAAGGCCTCGACTTTCCCGCTTAAAGCAGCCCATGAAAAAGTTTTATTGATTTTTTTTTTCATTGTTGTTTTAAAGTATTATTTGCAAGAAACAGCACAATGCACTTTATATTGTCAGGTTATTTCAAGAACTCGGCAGTCACTGGAGCTTCTGCTAAATTTATCGATATATGAAACTTGCAATCTCACAAGAATATTATTAACTAGATAGTTGTCATCAGCGCAGAAGAATTTTCGATACTCTTTCTTAATCTTTGAAAACAGATATTATTAGACGGTATGAAGCGATTGCTACA